AGCATCAGGGGTGACATGACAGGTAGGTACCCATCAGACAGCAGCAGGCTCGGAAGGGGCCCAGGAAATGCACCTCTGCTGGGGCTCAGCTGCACTCTGTGGGGTTACAGTTGGCCTGTGAAGGAGGCGAGGGCCCCACATGCCCCATCTTTGCTCCCACTTTCTCTTTATGCTGAGATCCCATGGGAGATTCTATTTGAAGAGACAGCTCTGGGAGAAAGGATGCAAGCAACTCAGTTTCCATCCCAGCGCTTCACTCGATGAGGAAGCAGCCCAGGGAGGGGATGGCTTGCCCAGAAGATGGGCCTGGAGGCAGGATGCCTGGGCTGTACATGCTCTCCCACCTGTACACTTGGACACACATGGGGGCGGCCCTCCATGCGCACCTTATTCCCGTTTGACTTGGCCCAGCTGACGTTGGTTCAGGGCAATTTGCCCTCTGCAGAGTGTCTCCCATGGAGACACCAAACTAGGTCAGGGGGCGGGTTAAATGGAGCTGGCTCTGTCTGAGGCAGCCCAACAGTGACTCTTGGGGCCACTCTGAAGGAGACCGGCACCTCCTCCAGCGCCTTGCCTTGTCTTTCCAGAATCCAGATCTCCTGGGTCCTGATTTGCTTCCTCACACGCACATACAGGATAAAACAGTGCCCTATTGGGGCTTAATTTTCCACCACCTCTGAGTCAGTGACTTGGACAGAATCCCTACAATGCTTCCCATTCCCTGGATGCTGCTAACTGAGTCCCAAAGCCGCTTTGTGTCCAGAGTCTCATGGATCCTGAAAAAAAAAGAGGCAACAGAAGCAAGAGGTTGATCCCCTATTAAACTCTTCCCTACATCCCAGACACTCACCCTGCACCCATTGTCTCCATGTTATCCTTGCAACAGCCCCATGAGGGGCTCTGTCTAACCCATTTTCTAGCTGGGAAACAGGCTCGAAGAGCCTAGGTTGCTTGTGGATGCTCAGAACAGAGCCCTGTGATGCCAACACCATCTCACTACTGGGCTTAGTCCATTTTCTGTTGCTTGCAACAGAATACCTAAAACTGGGTAATTTATACAAAATGAAATTTACTTCTTACAACTCTGGAGACTGAGAAATCCCAGATCAGGGGATGCATCTGGTGAGGGCCTTCTTGCTGGTGGAGACTCTCTGCGGAGTCTCAAGGCTGCACAGGGCATCGCATGGTGAGGGGACTGAGCATGCCCATCCCCCAGCTCAGGTCTCTCTTCCTCTCCTTATTAAGCTGCCAGCTCTTGCCCTGTGATAACCCATTAATCCATTAATTGTTGAATTGGATTGATGATGAATTGATGAATGGATTAATACATTCAAGAGGGCAGTCACCTCTTAAAAACTCCACCTTTCAGTACTGCTGCATTGGGGATGGCGCACGAACTTTGGGGGGATATATTTAAACTATGGCACTGCCCAGGTCCCTGGACTCACAGTCGGTGACTCTGCCTTCACTGCGTTTAACTCTGGACTTCCCCAGGGGCAGCTTGGGCAACAACCAGAAGGTGCTGGGATTAGGAGATTGAGATGCAGGCCCCAGCCTGGCTTTGAAGCTTCTCATCTTCCAGGCCCTGGACAAGTTCTGCAGCCTCTCAGACCTTCAGTTTCTTCATCTAGAAAATGGGAACGACAGTGCTCACTTCTCAGGTTGTTGGGAAAGTAAGCCCACATACATAAGGTACCAGACGCATCGGCCCTGGCCCCAGTGTCATTGTCTAGGTTAGTCATTGGTCACTGTCCTCAAAGACTGTATGTGATGAGAGGCAGGCCCAGCGCTGCCCAGCCGAACCTGGCAGTAGGGCCGGCGGTAGCTGCTCTCCTTAGGCAGTTACCCACCCAGGCACTATTTGGAGTAGCATCCATTGTTGCGGCAGGAAGCAGCCTGCCTGCCACGGTAACTGCAGGGAGTTCAGTGAAGGATGCCTTGGTATGCACCATCAAAGGAAACCAGCAAGACTCAGCCTGGCAGGGAGAGGGCTGGAGAAACACTCCCACCTCAGTGCATCCTGCCTTCCCTCCTCCCATCGGCAGCTAGAGGGCTGAGGGTCTGTTCAAGCCAGTCTTGGCACAGGGACTGGGACAGAGCCTGCATCTGGGGGTGCACCCAGTGAGGAGAGCACAGAGGCCCAGTGTGTGAGACAGCCTTCCTTCACCCCCTCCTGGCTCTGCGGTCTTCAACTTCCCTGCTATGCTGGAGCAGGTGGTGTGCCCAGCTGTCAACACGGTGGGCTTGTTTTTCTCCGCTGCCGCCCGCCTCCTTCCCCTAGGCCCCCATTTCCAGTCTGCAATGTTAATTGAAGGCGGCAGATGCCAAATTGCCCTCAGAGCAGAGCACAGAGGGAGAGGAGGAAGTGTGTCTGGGCCCCACGGCGGGTGGATCAGGCGCACAGGCAGAGCGGTGGAGGGGGGGCGTGCTTCCTGCCCACCACCACCCACAGCAGCTGCAAACATCCTCCAGACCTCTCGCTGTTTCCCCGTGAATACACCTGAGGTCGAGTGTGAACATAAGGAAGTTGATTTTTCCCGGTTATATTTTTTAAACCTATGTTTGGACGGCCCGGCTTTCTATTCTGAGCACTTGGGCCTTATTTTCCAGCTGCTTCTGAAAAGTAATCAAAGGCAGGCCACCAGACCAGTCAGACACCTGCCCTCCACACCTGCCTGCAGACCCAGGCTCCTCCGTACATTTTCTCCCTCGCCCTCCTGCTGGGTGGGAATCAGTGGCTCCATTTCGCTGGTGAGGAGTCGGAGGTTTGGGAAACTGCAGGATCTGTCCATGCAGCCGGCAGATGGAAGAGCTGGGATTTCATCCTGGACCTGGCCAGACCCAAGTGCTTGCTATTTGACCCTCAAAACCCACCAACCCTCGGCCCTCCTCCCTCTGTCCAGACTTCCTTCAGGAGCCTGCGGCAGAGGGGGAGGGGGCATCTGCAGATATGTTCATACTTAGGGATTTATCGCCCAAGCCCCTAACCTGAGCCACACGGCCCTTCTTCCAAGACCCCAGGCCTCCCCACAGCCCATCAGGGAGAAGTGGGCTCAGACTGTTCTCAATCGGGCCAGCTGGTGACTGTTCTAAACACCAGCCTTGTGTTCCCCAGTCTGCAAGAAGCTCTGCAAACTTTTGTGGCCATTGGTCATCTGCTTTCTTGATCTTTTCTTTTTTCTTTTCTTTTCTTTTTTTTTTTTTTTTTTTTTTTGAGACAGAGTCTCGCTCTGTCACCCAGGCTGGAGTGCAGTGGTGCAGTCTCAGCTCACTGCAAGCTCCACCTCCTGGGCTCACGCCACTCTCCTGCCTCAGCTGGGACTACAGGCACCCGCCACTACACCCGGCTAATTTTTTATATTTTTAGTAGAGACGGGTTTCACCATATTAGCCAGGATGGTCTCGATCTCCTGACCTGGTGATCCACCTGCCTCAGCCTCTCAAAGTGCTGGGATTACAGGCATGAGCCACGCGCCCGGCCTCTTTTCTTTTTTTAAGAGAGGGGGGTCTTTCTCTGTTACCCAGGCTGGAGTGCAGCGGCACAGTCACAGCGCACTGCAGCCTCAGCCTCCCAGGCTCAAGTAATCCTTTTGTCTCAGCCTCAGCCTCCCAGTAGCTGGGACTACAGGTGCATGACAGCACACCCAGCTAATTTTTCAAAATTTTTTTTGGAGACGAAATCTTGCTGTGTTACCGAGGCTCATCTTGAACTCCTGGGCTCAAGCAATTCTCCCACCTCCGCCTCCCAAAGTGTTGGGATTTCAGGCATGAGATTTTTAAAAATTGAGGTAAAATCCACACAGTATAAAATTAACAGTTTTAGAGAGAACAATTTCACGGCATTCCATACATTCGCAGTGCTGTGCAGTCATCACCTCTATCTAGCTCCCGAGCACTTCATCCCCCGACAGGAACTGCATTCCCATGAGCTGTCACTCCCCACTCCTCCCTTCCTCTGGCCCCTGGCACCCAGCAGTCTGCTTCCTGTCTCTGTTGGTTTACCTATTCTGGATATTTCACATAAATGGAACCGTACGTGATTTCTTATGACTACCGTCCCCCCTCTGCATGGTGTTTTCAAGGTCCACTTGTCTTGTACCTTTTTGTGGCTGAATAATATCCCATCGTACAGGTATATTGTACATCCACGAGGACCTACAGGGCATCTGACACCTTATGCATGTAGGCTTGGTTTTCCCAACCACCCAAGAAGTGGGCACTGTCACTTCTATTTTTTAGTTGAAGAAACTGAGGGCCCAAGAGGCTGCAGAACTTGTCCAGGGTCTGGAAGGTAAGAAGCTTCCGGCCGGGCGCGGTGGCTCACACCTGTAATCCCAGCACTTTGGGAGGCCGAGGTTGGCAGATCACAAGTTCAGGAGATCGAGACCACCCTGGCTAACATGGTGAAACCCCCTCTCTACTAAAAAAATACAAAAAATTAGCCAGGCGTGGTGGTGGGTACCTGTAGTCCCAGCTACTCAGGAGGCTGAAGCAGGAGAATGGCGTGAACCTGGGAGGTGCAGCTTGCAGTGAGCTGAGATCGCGCCGCTGCACTCCAGCCTGGGCGACAGAGCAAGACTGTCTCAAAAAAAAAAGATATATGCAGTTGTCATCACTCATGGATGGGCCATTGGGCTGCTTTCACCCTTTGGCTGTTACGAACAGTGCTGCTGTAAACACTTGTGTACAAGTTTTTGTTCGAATATTTGTTTTCAATTCTTTTGTGCAGATACCTCGGAGTGGAATTGCTGGACCGTGTGGTGGCTCTAGGTTTAACTTGTGAAGAACATTTTTAAAAGTGATCCGTGTGGGTGAATATTTTCTCTTTAACTGGAGGGCAGGGCTGTCTTGTTCTTTGGCCCTCTCTACCGTGGCCAGTCCTGGCTCAGCAAGCAGACAAGAGGCCCCCCGAGCTGTGGTGGCACCACAGGAGTGAGTGTGTGGACCCCACTCCACCCCAAGTGCTGGGATGTTGATTCATGGTCTTGCCAGTCACTCACGTGACTGCTGGTGGGGACCCAGCCCACATATCCTCTGGGCCTTTCCTGGATGCCTCTCCACCTCTTGCTGCCCTCGGGTTCCCTCAATTCCCACATTCACACTGGAGCTGACCTCGGTCTGATGTGTCTCCACAAGTCCCACCTCCCCCACGGATGCCCTGTACAGCGGTACAGGCTGTGCACTGCCCAAGGGCATCCTGCCAAGGGCGCAGTGCTCATTGATATTCAGTCCATGCTCCGCTAGCCAAGCCCTGCACCCTTGGGACTGCAGCCACCGTTAGAGGGCGCTTTCTTCCTTCACACAACGCACCACATGGACTAATGGCAGCTCCCAAGCCCTCGGTGGACCCGGCACTGACAGGATGTGCCCCTCGCTCACTCCCCTGAAAGGGGCAACTCTGCCCACTTTAGGTTCACTGATGACCTTCCTTCTCCCTGGGGATGTTCATACCTTCGACCTAGGCTCCAGATATTTTCCATGCCACCCGAGGGGGTAGGTCCACGCCACCAGTGGGGGTGCCCTGGTGGCCCACTGTAAAGGACTTTCTGCCCCTTACCCCAGGCTCGCTCCTGGGAGTTCCAGCCCCGGATGTTCAGGACATGCATGTGTGCCCTCTCACTGGACAGAGGTTCTTGTGTAAACACTGCCATCGGGACCCCAGACACACACTCCCTGTGCACAGACACGCGCTCACGTAGGTGTGTGGGTCAGACATTACACACAGGGATCTGGCCTTCCCTTGTATTGAAACCGAGTTGGCGGGTTGGGAGGGTATGTGGTTAAATCCGAGCAAGAGACACAGACCCCACGAGCGTAATCACATGCCTAAACCAGGCCAGGAGACTGGGGCACACGATGTGGGTTTGTCTGCCATGTGGGCACTGCACTCTGGGAAGCCCGAGCCCCTTGGGGCCCCCGCTGGTGGGACAGGCTGGAGCTAGGAGCTTAGCAACTCTGGTTCCTGGAGGGTAGAGAAACATCAAAGCAAGTCAGGAGACAAGGGGAGGCCAGGAAAACTGGAGGGCAAGAGGCCCCTGGAAGCCCCTCTAAACCCAATTTCCCAGTGTTGACAAAGAAAACAAAATCAAGCTTTCAAAGAATTAAAGTTCATTTCATTCAGGAGTCTGAGGACTCCAGACCATGTCTGCTGTCTGGGAGCAGTTCTGTCGGAGTCCACCGCTTACATACGGGTGGTGGAGGTTCAGCAATTGCAAAATCATATCGGACTTGCTCAGAAGTTATATTGAAGCAGCATCCCATCAAAGTGTGGGGGAAGAGCACCTCTGGTTATAGATGGCAGAGGCATCGTCACTAAGCCTGTCAGAAAGGCAAGGACTAGAGCTCTTCTCTTTTAAGGAATCAAGTGACTCAGGCAAGAGACGTGCGGGGCTGTGAGCTCCATCCTGTTTCGTCTTCAAAGCATCTTTCCAGAGAGCTGCACGTTGTCACAGAGTCAGGGGTTCAAACAGAAATGAGCCAACGTGACTTCTTACGCATGCTGCTTTGTCTTCCTGTGGGAAGGATAAAAATGCTTCATCCTCATCCCTGGGTGCTACAGCCTTCGCAGGCTCCTTGTTGGAGTGGGAATGGTGGTCAGGGGCCAGCACATCTGAGAGCAGGGCATGCCCTGACACAGGGTAGGATCAGAGCAGCATAAGGTCACATCTTGAGGCCCTGACTGGGGCCCCAGGCTGGCTGCTTTTCTTCCCACCCTAAAGTGTATTTCTGTACCCCTCCACCACAGGGCACTCAAGGAAGGCTCACTGAGAAGGTTGCAGTGGAACAAAGTCTGAAGGAGATGAGGGAGCAAGTTCTGTTGGTGTCATGTGGAAAAGCATTGCAGGAGAGGGAACAGCCAATGCGAAGGCCCTGAGGCAGTACCATGAGTGGCCAGAATGAAATGAGCAGGAAGCAAGGGAAGCAGGCATGCCACCAGGCCAGAGCGCTCACAGGGGCCAGTGGGAGGACTCTGGCCTCATCCTGAGGGAGGTGGGAGCCCTGGAGGGTTTGTGGGGAGGAGGGAAGACAGCTTTAGACAGCATCCCTCTAACTGCTGGAAAGAAAACAAGCCATGTGTGGGTGGGGGCAGGGGTAGGAGCGGGAGACCAGTGAGCCGCCATTCAACTCCATGGTCCACGCATAGCTGGGCCGGGCCGGAGCCCACAGGCTCAAGACCCAGCATCAGGCTGGGTAATAGGCAGCCTGGAAGGGTTGAGAGTGGTGGGCAGGCTGGAAGGGGTGAGTCAGGGCTGCAGCAGGGAGTAGCAGTGAGGGACGTGGGCTCCAGCATTAGGCATCAAGTCTCACAGAGTCCCAGACAGCCTTGGGACCTGTTTGTGCATCTTCCTGGGTCTCCATTTTCCCATCCAAAATAAATAAAGAAATAAAAGAATGAGAGATAAGATACGGTGTCAGCCCCTAGGAGCGGGTGGGCAGCTGTGTGCAGGTCTCCTTCTAATTTAAGGCAAATATGTAACAGTGACGGAAGCCAGGACCAGACCTGGGTGGGGCCAGGCAGGGCCCAGGGCACAGCCTTTAACAGGGGGCCTCAGAGTGAGGCTGTGGTTTTCTCTGCTCCATGTTGCAAGCCTTTGGCCTCTTGAGCCTTTTCCTCCAGGTCCTCACCTCAAGTGCTCAAGGCATTTTTGTTGTCTCTGGAAACGGTGGGGTGTACATTAAGAAGAGCTTCGCTTATCCCCACACATTCTGTTCCCAATTTGAGCCCTGCCTGCTTGTTTTTCTTAAATAACACTTAGTGAAACCTTCCTTTTTATCTTACCAACTTGAATTTATCTTGTGGTCCACTGAGATACTCGGATTTGGGAGTTTTGTTTTTCTACTTCTGATTGCACCACTGGATTTCTAACTTCCTGTGTGCTTTTTGGAAAATGTGGCTTATGCTCCCATTTGGACCGGCTGCTCACCACTGCAGGGAGGGTGGCAGTGAGCTGGCCTGGCACCCTCCCCAGGACCACACGGAGGAACAGAGGAGACGTTCTCTGAAGGAAGGGGGTGGTCAGTGGTGCTGATACCAGATCCTGGGCAGAGAGGACACCACCCTTTCACAGTGTCTGAGGGGGACTCATCCCCTCCCCAAAGGCCATCTGACACTCCTGTTGGCAGGGCAGGGGGTTCATTTACCCTCTCTCAACCTCTGTTCCTTCTGGAAAAGGAAAGAGCAGATTGCTGCCCCCAGCCTCTCTGAAGGGCTTTGTGCTGATGGGACCTGTCAAGTGTCCAAGCAGTTCGTGGAACAGCAGGACACTAAACACCAACCGGTGTCCTCACAATGATCATAATGATTGCCCCTAAAAGGGGGATAATCGCTGTGACCTACTTAGGGCACAATTGTCACTAATGGCCTTGGAGAGCTGTGAAAATACCAAGTGCCAAGGGGGAAGCTGAGGTGAATCTCGGCAGAGCGATTGCTGCGTATCTGTGTTTGCATCTCTGCTCCCTTTTTCCTGTGTCTTGGTCAAAGGTCTAAGCAGCATTTCTTGGCAGGAACGACCCAAAGGCCCCGGGCCCGTCCTTGCCAAGACCACTGCTCTGTGCCTGGTGAGAGGGTTAGCAGCTGAAACCCATTCTCTCAGGCATAAGCAAACGGGACATTTTTACAATACATGGTATTTTGTGGTTCTGAACACAAGGGCAAGAATGAGGTCAGGCATCTTTCTGGTGGAAAAGTATCGCAGGGGATGGAACAGCCAATGCAAAGTCACTGAGGCAGGACCATGAGTGATACCTTTTGGGAAGTGCTCTGGAAGGCCACAGAACCAGCGGCTGAAATGGAATCAGATCTCCAAGTTCCCTTTGTATGTTTCATCCCTCATTTAAAAAAATATTAAATGTGGCCGGGTGCAGTGGCTCACACCTGTAATACCAGTACTTTGGGAGGCTGAGGCAGGTAGATCACGAGGTCAAGAGATCGAGACCATCCTGGTCAACATGGTGAAACCCCATCTCTACTAAAAATACAAAAATTAGCTGGGTGTGGTGGCTCATGCCTGTAATCCCAAATATTTGAGTGGCTGAGGCAGGAGAATTGTTTGACCCTGGGAGGCGGAAGTTGCAGTGAGCCGAGATCGTGCCACTGCACTCCAGCCTGGCGACAGAGCAAGAATCCATCTAAAAAAAAAAAAAATTAAATGCAACAGTGGATATGCAGCCAGGCACAAAAAATTATATAACACACAGCTGTGCACTCACCAATAAGCTTCATCTTCAGATCTGCTTCAATTCTCCACCAAGGATTCCAATACATGGTGCTCCTGGGTCCCTTTCCCAGCCCATCTCTCCTCTCTTTGTATCCCCAGAAATGGCCATTACTCTGATTCTGGCATTTGTTTGTCTCCCAAACACTTTTGTGCTTTTACCACTACATACATGTGTGCCCATAAGCGTTAGTGCAAACAATGGAACTGTGTGTTTGGAAACTTTTTATTGAGAGTTTCACTGTGGGTGTCCTTCCTTTTCTTGCTTCTCATTTTTTTTCATTTCATATTAGGTGCTAGGGACCTCCCCTAGCTGATTGAGGTAGTTCTTGGTCACTCATGTTCACTGCTGTTTGGGAGTCAGTGGAATGACAATACCACACTTTATCAAGTATCTTGTGGATGGACGTTACCTTGACCCTAAGTTTTCACTGTGACTGTGTTGGTTTGAATTCCCCTGAAAGCAGAGCTGAGACAAAGGCTTGGGTGCAGGCAGTTGGTCTGGGAGGTGCTCTCAGGAAGCAAGACTGAGGAAGCAGGAGAGTAAAAGTCTCACTATTATATACCACCATGCACCAAATTAGTCCACAACCTGATGGCTTAAAGCAACAATTATCTTTTATTTATCTCTTGTAGCTTCTGTGGGTCTTGGCTGGGTGGTCCTGGCTCAGCTCTTCGTGAGTTTGCTGTCAGTCATTGGCCATGGCTGCCATCATCTGAAGGCTCGCCTGGGGCTGGAAGGTCTGTCTCCAGGCTCATCTGCATGGCTATTAGTGGGAGGTCTCAGTTCCTCTCAACAGGGTGCTTGAATGTCCTCACAACATGTCAGCTGGCATTCTCCAGGGCAAGAATCCAAAACATGCAGGAGAGCACTGCAATGCTTTTGGTGACCTGGCCTCAGGAGTCACACACCATCACCTCCGCCTTACTCCACTAGGTAAACAGACCACAGACATCACGGGGCATGAAAACTTGAGGTGAGGCCCATCAGAGATCATCTCAGAAGCTGGCCACAACAGGGGAAGAGTCCAAAAACAATGCAGGGTGCCCGGCAAAGGTGTTCACTGCTATGGGCACCGGCAGCTTGACCCTACCAAGGACCGTATGAAGAACTATGTAGAATGCATAGGACGGAGGTCAGGGACTCATCTACAGACTCACATTCCTGTCAGTTCAAGGTTGCCCCTGAGAATATCAACTCCCTCACAAACCCAGCCTGTGCCTGCAGGGGCTGAGGAAGCCCAGAGGCAGAAGAGGACAGGGCAGGCAGAGTGGAGGCAGTGCCGCAGCACAGCATTGCTGGGCCAGGAGGGCTGGAGGGATGCGCCGTGGTGCACAAAGCCTCTGCCTTGTGGCAGTGCTGTGATGAGTGTTCGCACATAGGGCCCTGCGTCCACGAGCCCATATTTCTGTAGGAAGCATGGGCTAGGGCCCCT